GGCCAACGCAGTGGTCTTATTGGAGTGCGTGGGGCGTACCGGTCATGACGATGCCCCCTTCGCAACATTCCTTGGTAGCTGCGGCAGAGCACAGTTGGCACCGGGCCTGGTACCGGAAGCCCATTCAGAGGTTGGGGCAGAGGAACGTGTGCCCACCCCTAAGCTTCCTTCTCCGATGGTGGTCGATACCTCAGGACCTGCCACAGCAGTCCAATCTTCCTCGTCATCCTTGGACAAGGCGGTTGTGGGACCTTCAAGAGCTAGCCCACTGAATGATGTCAGGGAGCATCAATCCCTTCTCTGGCTCGCGGTCAAGAACTTGGGGCTCAAGGTGCAGGAAATGGCAGAGCAGGAGGACACTATCTTCAATGTCCTCTTGGCCTCTACCCCCACCCGGGTCACCCTGCCTGTGCATGAAGGGGTTCTCAAGATAGCCAAGGCCCTGTGGCAGACCCCTTCCATCACTTGTCCCACCTCAAAACGAGCCAAGAAAAAGTATTTCATTCCGGCCAAAGGTTTTGAATACCTTTATACCCACCCACCCTTCCCCAGCTCGTTGGTTGTGTCTGCGGCCAACAAGAAGGACAAACAAGGTCCCTCCTCCTCCACTCCCTAGAATGAGGAAGCCAAGAAGCTCGATCTCTTCGGGAGAAAAATTTATTTAACAGTCAGCTTGCAATTCCCAGTGGCAAACCATCAAGCCCTGTTGGGCAGATACAACTTTAATCTCTGGGACCGTCTCAAAAAGTTCCAGGAATCCCTTCCTCAAGGTCTGGCCCAGGAGTTTGGCACCCTGGTAGAGGAGGGTACTGTGGCAGCCAGATGCTCCCTGCAGATGGCGTGGGACACGGCGGACTCAGTGGATAGGGTGGTCGCATCGGCGGTGGTCATGTGACTCAGCTACTGGCTGCAAACTGTGGGCCTCTCCCAGGAGAGGCAGACCTTGATTCAGGACTTTCCCTTTGATGGGGTTGGTCTTTTCGCCGAACAAACGGATGCCAGGCTGCACAGGTTTAAGGATACTAGAGCTTCCTTGGGCATGCACACGCCCCAATCAGCCAGGAAGCCCTTCCAATTGCCTCCACTGCCAAGACCCTGGCAACCCCATCAGGGCTCTATAAGAAGGGATGCCAGTTTAAGCACCGGCGCCCTTCCTCCTCCCGTTCACCCACCCAGCCTGGGCCCGCCAAACATCTAGGGGGCAGAAGCGGTCATTTTGAGGGTGTGCCTGAGAGCGGCGCTTCAGTTAGCCAACCAGCTCCTGCCCTCGTTTTCCTCAACCGCTGTTCGGCCTGGTCGCGGGGTAAGTTGGACTGCTAGGTCCTGGACATAGTAGCTCAGGGCTACACCCTGTAATTTTTGGCTGCCCCTTCCTCCCCCACCCCCCTTCCCCGTCCCTCTCATGAGCAACTCCTCGTTCAGGTGATTGAGAAGCCCCTGGGCTTGGGGCCTGTGCGGGAGGTTCCTTGGGACATGGTAGGAAGAGGATTCTGCTCCTGCTGCTTCCTAATGTTGAAGGCCAAAGGAGGCCTCAGACCCATCCTGGACCTGCGGGGCCTCAACAAGTCTCTCATGAAGTTGAAGTTCCGCATGATCTCCTTGGCCTCCATTATCCCTTCCCTGGATCTGGGGGGACAGGTATGCTGCTCTCGACTTAAAGGATGCTTTCTTTCATGTCTCCATATTTCCGGGTCACAGGCGTTTCCTGCGTTTCATAGTGGTCGGGCGCCACTTCCAGTTCACGGTGCTAATCTTTGGCCTGTCCTTGGCTCCCAGGGTGTTCACGAAATGCGTGGCGCCGATGGCGGCTTACCTGAGATGTCAAGGGGTTCAGATCTTCCCGTATCTTGACGACTGGCTCATCAAGGGCAGCTCTCCGGAGCAGGTGCAAAGAAACCTCGATCTGGTGCGGTCCACCTCCAGCAACCTGGACCTGTTAGTAAACGCACAAAAGTCCACGTTAAAGCAGTCCAATGCATAAAGTTCATTGGAGCAGTTCTCGACTCCACACAGACCAGGGCCTTCCTTCCGGAAGTGCGTTTTCAGGCCATGTTGGACCTGGTCTACCACGTAAAGAGCCACCTGCTCACCACGGCCCACACATGCCTGCAACTGATGGGTCAGCCATGCCCGACTTCATCTGACGCCTGTGCAGGTGTGGTTAGCCTTGGTCTAAATCCGCAGCAGGAATGCCCTGGACCAAGTGGTCACAGTGCTGAGCCACATCCTCTTGTCCCTGGACTGGTGGCTGGATCCCAAGTTGGTGCTGCAAGGAGTTCCCTTTGTGACCCCGTCCCTCACCCTGGTCTTGGACGCTTCAGATCTGGGCTTGGGAGCCCACCTGGGCAAGCTCAACACCGAGGGCTGCTGGCTACTAAACGATCTAGCCCTTCACATCAGGTAGCTCAGAGAGGTTTGCCCAGCCTGCCAGGTTTTCTTGCCCCACTTGAGAGGCAAGGTGGTGCAGGTTCTGATGGACAATACTGCTGCAATGTATTGCATCAACAGGCAGAGTGGCACCAGGTCTTCGGCCCTTTGTGGGGGGGTGTGCTCAGCCTCTGGGACTTATGTGGGCTCCATGCCATTCATCTGGTAGCTGTCTATCTGCCTGAAACCAAGAATGTCCTGGCAGATCACCTCAGCAGGACCTTCTCATTTCACCACTAATGGTCACTCCACCCAGAGGTGGTCACCCTAATCTTCCACAGGTGGGGGACTCCCCGGGTGGACCTGTTCATGTCCAGTGCCACGTGTTCTGTTCTCTTCAGGGCAGGGGCAAAGGCTCCCTGTCAGATATCCCCTTGATTCCGTGGTCAGGAGTGCTGATGTACACCTTCCCACCGGTGCTGTTGGTCCACAGGGTCCTGCTCAAGGTGAAACAAGACAGCGTGGCCTTGTCAACTCTGGTTCAGCATGCTGCTGAGTCTTTCAGCAGCCGCCCTGCTGCAGCTGCCTCTTTGGACGGATCTGCTGTCCCAGAACCACAGCAATTTGCTGCATCCGACCCTGGTGTCACTGCACCTGACTGCTTGGCTACTGTATGGCTGAGTGTGGACGAGTGGGAGTGCTCTGCTGCTGTCCAACAGATCCTACTGGATAGCAGAAAACCCTCCACCAGGGCTACCTACGTGGCAGAGTGGAAGCAGTTCATGTGCTGGGCCTCGGATCGACACCTTCGCGCTGCAGAGGCCCCACTACAGGCCATCCTAGATTATTTGCTGCACCTTAAGCTCCAGGGCCTGTCGCTTTCTTTGGTCAGGGTACACCTGGCAGAAATTTCGGTGCTCCATCCTCCGTTTCAAGGCAGGATGGTCTTGGCCCATCCCATGATGGAGCAGTTCTTGAAAGGTCTGGAGTGCCTCTACCCGCATGTCTGGGATCCGATTCCCCTCTAGGAACTGAATCTGGGACTGTCAAGGCTCATGTGGCCCCCTCCCCCCCATCGAACCCATGGCTTCCTGCTTCTTTCTTGGACGGTTTCGTTGGTCGCTATAACTTTGGCCTGTAGGATGTCCAAGATCGGGGCACTCATGTTAGAGCTGCCTTATACGGACTTTTATAAGGACAAGGTCCAGCTGCATCTGCACCTGGCCTTTCTGCCCAAGGTTGTCTCCCAGTTTCACACTGGTCAAGATATTTACTTACCGGTTTTCTGTCCTAAGCCTCATAACACGGACAAGGAATGCAGGCTCCATACCCTGGATGTCAGATGGGCATTGGCCTTCTACATGGATAGCACAAGACCGTTCCGTAAGTCGACGCAGTTGTTAGTTACTGTTGCAGACAGAATGAAGGGTCACCCACTGTCTTCCCAGAGAATCTCGTCTTAGATCACGGCCTGCATCTGCTACTGTTAGGAGCTGGCGAAAGGTGCCTCCGCTGAGTATCGTGACGGCTCACTCGACTAGAGCGCAAGCATCATCAGCAACCTTCCTGGCATAAGTGCTGATTCAAGAAATCTGTCTAGCTGCTACCTGGTCGTCTGTCCACACGTTTGCATTGTATTATGCACTTACCCAGCAAGCTTGAGATGACGTGTCCTGTGACCGAACTGTACTGCAAGCTGCAAGACTGTGATCTGTGAACCATCTCCGAGGTTACTGCTTGTGAGTCAGTCACCTAGAATAGAATCGACATGAGCAAGCACTCGAAGAAAAAACTGTTACCTACCTACCTTTCATAACTGTAGTTCTTCGAGATGTGTTTCTAATGTCCATTCCATTACCCACCCTCCTACTCCTCTGTCGGAGTTGCTGGCAAGAAGGAACTGAGTGGGCATAGGGTCGGTGGCACCTGCTATACCGCTGCATGAGCGTGACACTGCAGAGGGCATTATAGCCGACCCTACGGGTACTGCTAAGGCAATCATCTTTGACAGTACATGTTGGCGCGTGCACAGACCTAGAATGGAATGAACATGAGCAACATATTTTGGAGAACAACAGTTATGAAAGGTAGGTAACCGTTTTTTCCACAATCCTTTGCAGGGGAGAATTATTTGTTGGGTTGTTGGAGGTAGAGATAGCAAAGAAGTTTATACGTTACTTAGTGACAGACATATGTATGTAATTAGATTAAGCTAGTTGAAGTCAGAGTTAAGTCTGTGCACTGAAGTGTGACTGTGAGGAATTAATGTGTATGTAACGTGTATATGTTGTAACTGAAAAGGATTTGAACATGACAGAGGAGTCTAAGCATGTTTTGGTATTAAACTTGGGTGACAAGGCATGTGAAATGAATCTTGTGTGGATGTGTGTTGGTTTAATCAGGTAATTTACTTAATTTTTAATAATTATGTTGATATGAAATGCAGATGACCAAACATAATTTTCAGTTAAATAACTTAATGTAGGATAAAAATAACTCAAAATTTGCAGGGGAGTGATGCATATCCTGTATCTTTTAAAATTTTAATTTAACTGATTTTACATAATTGGAAAACTGCTTAGTATGATTTGGTGATTTGTTATGCGTATGTAATTGTTATATTTTATTCACAGAGTCTCTCTTCCAGCTTCTTCTGGAAATAACTGTTCGTAGCACTGGAGTGAATGACAGTACTGGACAATCCTTGACAGCAGTTTCCTGCGCTTGCCTGTTCAGTTTGGTAGCTGCCTGGGGAGAAACAGGAAGAACACTGCAGGCGGTCTCTGCTATTCTCACCAATAATGGCAGTCATGCTTGTCAGACTATTCAGGTGTTGTACTAAACCTATTCTACATCAAGAATTTTGGTTGGTCATATGCGTGAGTCCTGGAAGCATTCTAATACAGAAATTAGGGCTGTCAAGCGATTAAAAATATTAATTGCAATTAATCGTGTGATTAAAAAAATTATTCATGGTTAATTGGAGTTTTAGTCGTACTGTTAAACAATAATAGAACACCAATTGAAATTTATTATAAATATTTTTGGATGTTTTCTACATTTTCAAATATATTGATATCAATTACAACACAGAATACGAAGTGTACACTGCTCACTTTATATTTATTTTTGATTACAAGTATTTGCACTGTAAAAAAAAAAAAGAAAAAAGAAAATAGTACTTTTCAATTCACCTAATACAAGTACTGTAGTGCAGTCTTTTTATCCAGAAAGTTGACCTTACAAATGTAGAATTACGTAAAAATAAAACTGCTTTCAAAAATAAAACAATGTAAAATTTTAGAGCCGGCAAGTCCATTCAGTCCTACTTCTTGTCCAGCCAGTCGCTCAGACAAACAAGTTTGTTTACATTTGCAGGAGATAATTGCCCGCTTCTTGTTTACAGTGTCAATTGAAAGTGAGAACAGATGTTCGCAAGACACTGTTGTAGCTGGCATCGCAAGATATTTACATACCAGATGCGCTAAAGATTCATATGTCCCTTCATGCTTCAACCACCATTCCAGAGGACATGCGTCCATGCTGATGACGGGTTCTGCTCTATGAAAATCCAAAGCAGTGTGGACCAACGCATGTTTATATCTATTATCTGAGTCAGATGCAACCAGCAGAAGGTTGATTTTTTTTGTGTTATTTTTTTGGTGGTTCAAGTTCTGTTGTTTCTGCATCGGAGTGTTGCTCTTTTAAGACTTCTGAAAGAATGCTTCACACCTCATCCCTCTCAGATTTTGGAAGGCACTTCAGATTCTTAAACCTTGGGTCAAGTGCTGTAGCTATCTTTTTAGAAACGTCACATTGTTACCTTCTTTGCGTTTTGTGAAATCTGTAGTGAAACTGTTCTTAAAATGAACATGTACTGGGTCATCATCCGAGACTGCTATAACATGAAATATATGACAGAATGCGGGTAAAACAGAGCAGTTCTCCCCCAAGGAGTTCAGTCACAAATTTAAGTAACACATTTTATTAACGAGCATCATCAGCATGGAAGCATGTCCTCTGGAATGGTGGCCGAAGCATGAAGGGGCATACGAATGTTTAACATATCTGGCATGTAAACACCTTGCAATGCCGGCTACAACAGTGCCATGCGAATGCCTGTTCTCAGTTTCTGGTGACATTGTAAATAAGAAGAGGGCAGAATTATCTCCTGTAAATGTAAACAAACTTGTTTGTCTTAGCGATTGGCTGAACAAGAAGTACGAGTAAGGGGAGTTGTAGGCTCTGAAGTTTTACGTTGTTTTGTTTTTGAGTGCAGTTGTATAACCAAAAAAAAACTACATTTGTAAGTTGCATTTTCACGACAGAGATTGCACTACAATACTTGCATGAGGTGAATTGAAAAAAACTTTTATTTTGTTTATCATTTTTACAGTGCAAATATTTGTAATAAAAAATAATATACACTGATTTCAATTACAACACACATTACAAGATATATGAAAATGTAGAAAACCATCCAAAATATTTAATAAATTTCAGTTGGCTTTCTATTGTTTAATGTGATTAAAACTGCGATTAATCTTGATTAATTTTTTTAATCTTGATTGATTTTTTTGAGTTAATCGCGTGAGTTAACTGCGATCAATTGATAGCCCAAACAGAAATACATTGAAATTTACTGGCTTCATTCACTCTTGAAATCAGTTTTGAGATAGAGAAGAGGCGATCCATTTTGGATTGCCATGCATATTATGGAGTAAATCAGTTGGAGTTTGTAGGAAGTAAATCTTACCTCTTTTCATGTATTTCTCATTAGTAAGAATGAAAGCATAAATTAAGGCTTAAATTTTAGCAAAACAGCTTTTTCAGGTATGCAGTGTAGTTGTAGCTGTCTCGGTCCAAGGATATTAGAGAGAGAAGGTGGGTGAGGTCATGTCTCTTATTGGACCAACTTGTGTCTCTCACCAACTGAAGTTGTTATAATAAAATATATTACCTCACCCACCTCATGTCTCTAACTTTTTCAGAGCCAGGATTAGTGACTAAAGCTTTATTTTCACCTCTATATGTTGCTTAAACTGTAATGTTTTGTACCATCTCATAGGGTTTTCTTTACCATTTAGGTGCCAACTATCTTAAACTCTCTTCAGCGGAGTGTACAGGCAGTTCTGGTGGGCAAAATCCAAATCCAGGACTGGTTCAGTAATGGGATAAAGAAAGCAGCCCTGATGCACAAATGGCCACTGAAAGAAATTTCTGTAGATGAAGATGACCATTGTTTACTTCAGAATGATGGTTTCTTCCTGTACCTTTTATGCAAAGATGGACTTTACAAAATCGGCTCTGGCTACAGTGGGACAGTGAGGGTAATGTGACTCCTGAAAACTCATGATAGCAGTTGATGATTTAATCTAAATGACATTTTATGGTGTCTTGCTTGACTTTTAGATTGTCTTGTAACTTAGTAATACTGATAATTCTTTTTTAAATATATTGATTTTAAAATTCTTGTAGTGTTTGTTCACCAGCTTCTCATTTCTTGTTCTTTTCATTTCTCATTTCTCATCACTGTAGAAGATAATGTTTCTAGATGATAAAAGATTAACTATAAAACTGTCATTCTAACAATTGTCAAACTAACTTTTTTGTTACCTTACAGGGTCATATATACAATTCTACATCCCGCATCAAAAACAGAAAAGAAAAAAAGTCTTGGTTAGGGTATGCTCAGGTAGGAGAATACATAAAACAAAAAACATAAAAGAAATAACTTAATATTTACTTCAAATTTAGCAGAGTTTAGGACAGCTTTATACAAGTATTACATCGTTCCTTTCTATCTGGCTGTACAGTAATAAAGCCAGTCCAGTGTAGTTAAAAATTCTGTTGTGGATAGGGGAGAGACCTTTTTTCTTTTTTCTTTTTTTCTTTTCTTTTTATGCTGGCAGATAGAAAAGGGATAATGGCAGTGTCCACTGTAGCCAGACTATATTGCAATATTATCTCTAAAATTTGAAGATCTCGCACTGTTTTGTTTCTGAATTCTGTAATAAAACTTAATACATTTTGTATTTCCCTTTTAGGCAGTGCGAAAAAATATTAAAAGCATGGCTTTGCAGTTATAAAGCAGTACAACACTGTTTTAGACTATTTTATTGGAATGCTCAATTACTATTTCTAATATAACCCAAAATGGCATGTTTAGTTACCAGTAGGTTTTCTTTCAGTACTGTTTTACTTCTTTCTTTTTGAACTATATTCTTAGCAAGATTTATTACATCTTCATCATTTTGAGCTCAAATAATCCAGTGATTTCCTTACCGCTTTGTGAAACTGCTGATTTACTCAGTCTTGCATCTTTTAAATTAAATACTTCTATTAAAAATATATTAAATTTATTCCATTTGTACAGTACATCGTCTTTTGTTTAACATCTTAACAAATATATTATCAAAATATGTATTAACCCAAAATATCAACGCAGGAAGATGTTTTCCGTCTGTAGGATTTTTCTGTCTATTGCAGAGGAATGTGGTCAGCACAATCTTCACTATTTCTAAATTTCTTTTTCATAGACAGTGTTGTCTATATTTCATATTTGTACTACTCAAACCTCCCAGGTTGGCATCTGAGGAAACTTGTGATCCAGCCTGGGAGAGTACATATGTGTACAGGATGGTCCATGGGCACTCCGCAGAAGTACTCTATACTTGGGCTACTGCTATGTACGGGGCTTCTCCAGGAGGTGAAGAGATGCTTTTCTTAGGGAAACCATGGAGGATGAAATCTATAGTTGTGAAGCATCTCCCTCACACAACCTGCAAAGGTTGAGAGGAGGAATGTTACCACAAATTATTGGCTGTAACCATGTGTGTTGGGGTTGCTGTCATCAGGATTACTGTCTTTTGGAGATATCTTCACTGTAGTGCTTGGGGAGAAAAGAAATACATTGAATCTATTTTTTTTTTTTTTTTGTAAAAGTGATTTTTATCTAGTAGGTGACACTGTGATATAAATAGGAATACATAACCGTAAACAACACTCAAAAATTCCATTAACCTTTTAATACATCTACATTCATGTCTCTAATACACAGATTTGAACAGTTAATATTGTAATTGCTATTGTAATTGCATCTTATTCCTATGAAGAGAATACTGGAGAGGGAGCACGTGGCTTCCAGAGCACAATGTCACCGTGCTGGTGCACAAGGAAGTAGGAATTCCAGAGTGTATTCAACTTTCAGTTTGTATCAGCATTAGCATAGAGAATAAGGTGTGAACCTGAAGATGAGAAAAATTTGATTTTGAAAACACATAGCTAAAGAGAAAAAAAGTAAATGATTTTCAGTTTGATATTCCTTTAAAAGTGTTTATGAAGGTTATACTTTCATTCTAATATGTTTTTTTTTTAATTTACCAGAGTTATTTGTTGTATAGAGATGTGAACAATCACAGTATGACAGCCATAAGAATAAACCCTGAAACCTTGGAACAAGATGGTACAGTCACTTTGCCAGGTACGAAATTCTAGACATTACCAAGAGTGGTGGGAATACTTTTTAAGAGAGCTTTCACACAATACCCTGAAGATCAACAGAAAAGGGCTCTGACAGAGAAGTAATTCATGGATTTTAAGGTCAGAAAGGATAGTTGTCACCAAGTCTGACCTCTAAATAATTTTGGCCATATTATTTCACCCAGACATTCCTACGTCTATTCCACCAGCTTGGTGAAACTAGAGCATAACTCTAAGGCTGTGTACACACTACAGCTTACTTTGGTATAAGTATTGTTGCTCAGAGGTGTGAATAAGCCACCCCCCTGAGTGATGTAAGTTACACTGACCTGACTGCCTATGTGGACAGTGCAATGTCAGTGGGAAGGGCTTCCTGGCTGCAGAATTTGGGCATTGCTCATGACGTGCAGCAGGCCATAGAGGATTTGCCCTTCAATGGCCAAGCGATGTTTTCAGACAAGGTAGATGACACTCTGCACTCCTTCAAGGATTCTATGGCTACCCTACATTCCTTGGGTGTATGTAAGCTGGGTGTAATGGTGCCACTACAGGGATCAGCAGCAGTATTGTCCACAGGACATATTTGGGCAGCCTTTCCTGCCCCAGAGACAGTGGGACTACCCCAGATAATGGTATAGATCCCATAGGAGAAGGCAGTCTGGTCTGGTGTTCATTCAGTCTACACACCCTCCCCTTGCATCTCCCAAGTGCCCATATTGACTGCTTGGTTCAGAGAAGTGTTCCAGTCGGCTGTTGTGCTTTCACAGTGCTTGGGGCTCTGTCACCACTGACAGCAGTATCCTAAGCACCAGCAGACTGCTATGCCATCTAGTTCCTGTCCATCCCTCTCCACCCATCTTTCATGGACCCTCTCACAAGATACTGCTTGTCAAGCAGGTTTGCTCTCTGCTGGCTTTGGGAGCGGTGGAGGAGGTTCTGTTGGGACACTGGAGTCATGGCTTCTATTCCCAGTACTTTGTGGTTCCCAGTGCAAGGGAGGATCCATTCTCGATCTTTGCCGCCTCAACAAATACATCTATGAGATTCTGAATGCTCATTTTATTGACTGTCCTCCCCACGTTGTCTCCGAACGACTGGTTGACTGCCCAGGAACTTCAGGATACCTACTTCCATGTGGCTATTTTTTCAGGCCATAGAAAATTCCTTTGATTTTATTGTAGCAGAGCTCCATTTTCAGTATATGGTGCTTCCATTTGGCCTATCTTCTGCCCCTTGGGTTGTACCAAAGGCATGGTTGTCATGACAGCATATCTTAGGAAGAAAGGAATCCATATCTTTCCATATCTGTATGATTGGTTACTGTGGGAAGGGTCGAGAAAGGAAATTTTCTCATGTCGCCACTACACTGTGCTTGCTCGATCGTCTGGGTCTCATCCTAAACATTAAGAAATCAACTTTGGTTCCCACACAGATAATCAAGTTCATTGGGGCTGGAATAGGCTCTGAGTTAGAGAGCATTTCTGCCAACTGACTGACCATTTTCTGGTGATTCACCACCTTTGAATCAGTCTGCAGTCTCAGCCTTCCCATACAGTTCAGCTGTGCTCCTGGGCCACATATCTGCTTGCACACTGGTGGTCTATTTTGCAAGATTGTCTTCATCCCATCCAAATGTGTCTCAGGACGGTTTACCATCTGACTCTTCACCCCCTGGATAGGTTGGCCTGCCTTCCTCAACTGGTCCTAGACTCCTTGCAGTGGTGGACGCTTCCAGAGAACATTTGCCAGGGTTTTCCCTTTGACTGGCCCTTATCAACCAGGTCTGTTGTCACTGACGCCCCCCTGAGGGATTGGAGTCCCCCTGGGGTCACTGAAAGTTCAAAGTCTCTGGTTGGAGCAAGACTCCTCTCTGTATATCAACATTCAGGCCATCTACAATGCATGTCACGCTTTATTGGACTGTATCAGGGTCTCAGTGGTTCACATACTTACCAACAATTTCACCGCAGTGTATTATGTGAACAAGGAACGGGGCGCATACTCCTGGATGCTCTGCCAAGAGGCAGTCATGTTGTGGCAGTTCTACATTGAGGAGAGCATTACTCCATTAGCCAGTCATTTCCCCAGGGTCCAGAATCATCTCTGACCACCTCAGCAGGAATTTTTCCCTGCGTCACAAGTGATCTCTGAAGACTAGTGTTTTCTGGCTCATCTTTGCAGCTTTGAGCATCCCAGCAATTGATCTGTTAGCTATGAGGGACAACAGGAAATGTCATCTGTTCTGCTCTTGAAGGGTCCTCTGTCCAGGCTCCCTTCCCGTGCTTCCCATCTCAGCTGGCAGTCAGCTCTCCTCTAAGCTTTTGACCCGATCCTGATCGTCCCACAGGTCATCCTCAAGCTGAAGGTGGGTCGAGCCAAGTTCTCATTGGTGTAGCTGAGGAGTGCTGGTTCCCCGACCTTCTTGCACTATCAGTTCAGCCTCCCATCCTGCTTCTCCTCCATCCTGACCTAATTACTAAGTATTATGGCCATACCTTGGATCCCATCCTCGGCTCCTAGCAACTAACGGTGTGGCTGCTTCATGGCTAAATGAGGAGGAAGAGCGGTGTTTGGTGGCTGTTCAGCAGGTCCTACCCAACAATAGAGAAAACTCTACCAGAACGGCCTATTCAGCGAAATGTGGTCATTCGCCTTTGGAGTTCAACTGATGCTGGCTTCTATCCAGAACATCTTGGAGTACTTGCTGCAATTAGTCATTGGGACTTGCATTTGGCTCACTGACAGTGCATCTCACAGCAATATGCGTGTTCAGCTCCCATTCAGGGAAGATCAGTCTTCTCCAATACCATGGTAACAAGATTCTTAAAAGGGCTTCTTCATCTCCATCCTCCGGTCTGAGAGCCGGTTCCTTTGTGGGACATTACCATGGTCCTAGGAGTTTTAATGGGACCTCCGTTCGATCCCCTGGAATCTTGTCCCTTTCTGGTTTTGTGTCAGAAAACTGCATACTTGATTGTACTCCTGTTCTTTTTGCGGATACAGACTAACACGGCTGCTACTCTGAAACCTGATACTTGATTGTGTTAACATCCACAAGGAGTATGTGTGAGTTGCAGGCTCTGATGGCAGAGCCTCCTTACACACAGTTCTCAAAGGACAAGGTGCCTTTATGACCACAGCCTGAGGCAAACACTTGGCATAAATTTTTTTAGCTCAAATGGGTAAAGATTGGCCAAGATATAAACAACTAAAAACAGGCTATTACAATGGGAAGTGTCAGGCAACCTTAATAATAATTGTGCTACCAATACTGATTAAAAAAAAAAAATCTAGTTGGGTGGCCTTCTCCTTAAAGCTACTGGCTCCAATAAAATGTTTTTACTTAAAATTGCAAGATTATATCCTTAATAGACAACATGTTAGATTTTAAACTTGTTCATAGTAGTCTGGGTTACCCATCACATATAGACTGCTCTTGTGCTAAGCATTTAGTATTGTGGAAACCCCCTTTGCTCCAGATACTGTATGGTTTAATAATTATAGAAGAAGATAGTAGTAAACATTGCATTTTTTGGGAAGTTTTTGTGCACATTCATTATTAAAACATGAAAAGAAAAAATGTTGGAAAGAAAAATCCTAGTAAAGAACAACCTGTAAAAACTCTAGTTTGTATTCTGCAAAAATGGGCTCTTAAATATGATTGCTTTTTGGGCAATCTCCTTTAACACCAATGATAGTGCTTTGGCAAAGGTACAGAATAGAATGTCTTTAATTGAGGTGAATTAATGCAGAATACTTAATTTTTTCCTTCCGACACAGATTGCCACACTGAAGGGCAGAACATCCTTTTCACCGATGGAGAGTACATTAATCAGATAGCAGCTTCTAGAGATGTAAGTATTCAATGTATAGAGTAGTCATACTTTTTTTTTTTTAGCCAACAAAAATATCACTGAACTAAGTGGTTGTCTTCCAGATAAAAGAGGGACTCCTTTTGGCTAGTGTAGATAAAGGCAAAAACACATAGCTAGAGAAAATGAAAAATTGCCAGGCATCTGTCAAGAGCTTAGCTTTCATACTACTTCATCTTCGATAGTGGCAAAACATCCTTTTCAGACGTATATTTTACAATCGGTTTGGTAGCTCTGCTTCTGTACATGAGATTTTGTGGGCTGAATAGTTTTGGTTTTGTTTATTTTAATGTGGCTGGCTGGACTTCCTTGCCATTAGGTCATGCTGTATATGAGTATATTTTCAAGTAATTTGAGTGATGCTTTTCAGTAAAGCATGTTCTGTTTCAAAAGAACACTGAGGCTAAAAGGGGCATACTTTAACTATTGTCCCTTTTGGAGTTTCTTCACTTTATGATGATTTCCGCGTATTTCTTTCAAAAACAGGTTTCCTTCAGATAAGGTAGTAAAAAATGGTACACTTAATGTGATGGATTGAATTCCAGTGTGACATTTGGGAATGGTATCAGGTTTCATGTTCTGTTGTTGAAGAAATGATGGATAATTGTTAATTTCATTAGAGGCAGCATTGTCTTGCTTGGCAGGAGAAGGGGAAACAATCTAATAGCAAAACCATGATTGGCTGCTCATCCTATAGTAAAATTAAACACTGTAAACAAACATTTGGTTTTTAAAGCCCCCTACACAAATTCATTGATTCAGTCCTCTGGGTGAGACCTTTCAGCAGGGACTGCTATTAATATGGAAAGGGTTTATCGTGTGAAAAATGAGTTAAGCAATGAGTTAAGTGATCTAGGTGTTCTCTTCCTGACTCTGCCATGGATTTCCTGTGTAACTGTTGCAGTTCATTTAACCTTTGCTTCAGGTTCCCATCTGTAAAACGTGGTCCTTATACTTCCTTTCTTTGAAGAGATCTTAAGGTATAACCTACTGATGTTTGTTTGTAAAGTGGTTGGCTGCAAGGCATTAAGTACAAAGTATTATATTACTATTAGGAATATCTACCTTCATGGATAATCCTTTAAAAATAGTTACCTACCCTTATGGATTTTCTATACAGTTTATTCATTTAAAAAAAAAGGTCTTTTGCATTGCTATACTTCGTAAAACTATTAGTAAAACCATTCTTCTCCACACACTTGGCAAACTACATTTGAGTTGGGCATACCTACAGATACTTCATCCTCAAATGTGAATTTCATTTTTGGTGGTTTTTTATACTGTAGGAACAGAATGTGGGGAAAGGTGTTGGTTCCAGATCCTCCTTTCATTCATGTAACTGAAAATTGACTTCAGTACACAAGTATCAAACTTCCTTTATGAAATGTGCATGAAATAGAAACACATTTTGTAGGTGTAAAACTCTAATCTGTAATTAACATTCAATCCAAACTTCCCTAAAGTGAAAAGCTGTTTGTATGTGATTAAGTGGCCTTGTTTCAGTCCATTATAAAGAATCTGGAGATGTAAAGTCTGGACCTAGATACAAAGCTGAACTTCCTCAAAGTTTGGGGAGGTTTGTCTATGGGATTCTATTTCAGATCTGTTTTGTGTATTTACGTGATAGCGTGTCTTTTTGTTTTTTGCTATGCCAAGTTCTTGATGGTAGTGTTCATGTGGAATAGTTTGTACCATATTTAAATTTTGTGTGTGATCTTTTCCAAATGGCAACTGAGGAAACTCATCTAATATTCTACTTTATCATATTTTAAAACACCTTCTAATTTTCAAATTTTTTAAAAAAGTAATGCTTTTAATCCCCCCCCCCATTTTCAGCAGTAAAAATGGAAGAATGGATTGAACTTCACATTGCACAGATTGACTTGACTTTTTTGAATACACCGCTGAATTTTTTTAGCAGCTGAAAATTGGAGTAGGATAGCTTGTTGAATACTTGTCTGCTTTAACACCTACATTCTTTTAATCTCTGATGTCAGTGTAGTCAGTCCTCTGATTCTTATCTAACATTTCTCTTTCCTTGTATGCTATTTTGCAGTTAAGAAGAAAAATGAAGTTGGTATGAGGGGAAAAACCCAATTGTATAGGTTGTGACACAAATAGATCAGTTTTGATTCTAACCTTGATTCATTTCTATTTGAGGGGCGCAAACAGATCTGTAATATGTATCCTGAAATGCCTATGGACAACAGTTACAAAAGTACCCCAAAAAGTCATGTTACAGTTTTCATGTTAGCGTTAAAGTATGCGTTTTGTGTTATCTGACCGTGTTAAGGTATTTGTAGCAAGAGAAGTATCAGATTCTGACCATTTTGTTGCTTTTCTTAAGCACACTTACTACTTAGCTGTTATGAAATGAACCAGAAAATGTTTACTTAAAGCCTTTTAGTAATCATACACTGTGAAGCCGCCAAGACTAAAAATTGGTCAGCATGACTTTTGCCCCATGGAAGAAACAAAACATCCATACCCTATTCTAAGATAACCAATAAACATACCGCTGAGTGAATAAACATTAAAAGACAACGTGTGCCACGGTTTTATGAGTTTCAGTAATTTGTCTCTCTTGATTTGGTTTTTAATACATTTGAAGCAGAAGCCATCGTGTGTGAAAAAGTACGTTTTTTAAGTCTCTCTCTTCAGGTCTGTCTGTCTCTAAAACATTTTACTTGTCTTTTATTCTTTTTACACTCTTTCATTATTAGTCATTTTTCTACCCTAAAAAAAACCCGTAATTTTGTCAGTGTGTTACCTACTGATTTGTTTTGAAGGATGACTGGAGATGCACAGTATACTCTTTGCAGGGTGAGATTAAACCAGACTTGTGCCACAGAAACTAACTAAAATAATTGTTTAATAGTTTAAATCGGTATTTTATTTGTTACAGGATGGCTTTGTAGTTCGAATATTTGCAACAAGTACGGAACCAGTATTGCAACAAGAACTGCAGCTTAAACTTGCTAGAAAGTGCTTACATGCCTGTGGTATCTCATTATTTGATCTGGAGAAAGACTTGCACATTATCAGTAAGGCTTCATTTTGTTATGTCTTCTTTCAACATTATTAGTGGTTTATAGTACAAACTTGGTACTATAATTCAAACAAATAAATAAAAGGGGAGAGGAGAGGAGAGGAGGGGTAGATCAGTGGTTTGAGCATTGGTCTGCTAAACCCAGGGTTGTGAGTTCAATCCTTGAGGGGCCATTTAGGGATCTGGGGGGAAAAACAAAACAAAAAAGAAACTGTCAGGGACAGTACTTGGTCCTGCAAGTGAAGGCAAGGGACTGGACTCGATGACCTTTCAAGGTCCCTTCCAGTTCTAGGAGATAGGATATCTCCATTAATTTATTTATTTATTTTAATTTAAAAGTGAACAAGAACAAGTAAGGGGAGCAGCAGTGGTCTTTTCAGACTGACAGCTCCATTCACGAGTGGTGGAAGCTCCCTAAAAGTGGGGGGACTACTGGCACCTGAACCGCCCCTCGTGCTGCCCCTTCTCCAAGATCCCGCCCCGTTTCTTCTCCCCGAGGCCATGCTCCTGCGCTGCCTCTTTGCTCCAAGACCCCACCCCCCGCTTGCTCCTCTCCAATCCCACCCTGGTGCCATGCTCCCTCTCCCCTGTACTCCCACCCCGTTCCAGTGTCCCTGGCTCCATTACAAGTATACTGATGACTACTAACACGGACCTTCATAGTTCTTAAACCCATACCCATCTTGGTTTGTAGCAATCAACTTTATCCTATGCAAAAAAGGATTCTTGTTTAAAATAACACTATCCATGCCTCTACACTTGGAACCTATTTGGATTTTAAGTGAAACATAGCTGTCCTCTTGGAATTGGTTTAGAACTTTCCCATTGTAGTGAAAGTAATTGAAGGTATACTTCGTGAAAATGTTCATGGAAAATATTATTTCCATTTTAGCTCTGATTTTTTTTTCTATAATTAGAGGTATAATTGTAAACTTGAAATTTCATTTCACTTGGATTAGTTCACGTTGAAAGAAAGCTTTCCTGAACTAATTTTTTTGTGAGGTTCTCATCATATTGTCAATTGACGTCAATGACAAAATCTGCTTCTACTTCAACCATGCAGGATGAGGCACATAAGGAAAAATTTATCTTTAAAACCAACTACATATAAATTGCATACCTAATTTACATCTTGTTGTGTTCTCAGGTACAGGGTTCGATGAGGAGTCAGCTGTTCTTGGTGCAGGAAGAGAATTTGCACTAATGAAAACTGCTAGTGGAAAGGTATTAGGAATATTTCATTATTGATATATTAAATTGCATAAATAATATGCTACCGGATCTTGTTATGGAAATTAGATTTGATATATTGGTTTTGGAAAAAAAGTTTCATTTCTGCTTCTAAAAATATATTATGCTATTGTACATTGGCAGTTGGCTATAGTTTTTATATATTTGCTTTCACTGTGATGTAGAAAAGACAAACCAATAAGATTAAGTAGTGTTCATATAGCAATTTAATTTTTTATGATGTTCTCCTAAACAAAATTATAGCAACAATAATTACTGGATTATTCTTTTATTAACCAAATGTCATATGTCCACATTTTTTCAGTCCTATCAAAATTAGTACTAAATTACAAGTAAAGCCTATATGTTCTTACTCAGTATGTCTGTGTAGTTGAATGTATACAAAACTTGCCTTAAAATTTACTTTATAACTTTGTCATCTACTTAATCTCAGTGTTGTTAAAGCAGCTTCTGGCTTTTCTAAATGAAAAGTGCTCCTCAGCTGGAATCCAAAGGAATGTCTAGAGTTATTGCTGGATTACAGAGGGAAGGGCCTTAAATGATGTAGTTGCTTTAACGGAGGTAGCACTATTAGTTACAGCAGTGGTTCTCAACGTATTTATCATTGTGAGTTGCATATGCGGCCCACAGTGTGTTACATGGGCCGCAGGTTGAGAACCACATCATCCCTCCCCCCACAAGCTCCCCACAGTCCCCTATGCCCAGCGCCCCCTGCCCAGAGACTCCTCCACAGAGTGGGCCCAGGAGCGGAGCCCTGGGTGTGGGGCCAGGCAGCTGGACTCCGCCTCTGCTGCACGCCTAAAACCTGGGGCTGCTGTAGCAGTCCCACAAACCCCTACTTCCCAGTGCCCTTCACTGCCCAGAATGCCCCCTCCCCCCCCCGCAACCTGCCCAGAGACCCACTATCCCACACCGTGCCCCCCTTGGCGCTCACTAGCCCCCTGCTGGCAGGAGTGCTCCAGCAGGCTGCCTGATGCTGTTCCCTCCCTTAGCCAATCCCACCCCCTTTCAGATCAGAGACACAAATTTTGAGGTTTTTTTAGCACACAACTGAGCCACAGCTGTCTGCTAATTGAGCCGCGGTTTGAGAACCACTGAGTTATTATGTTGCATAGTAATTGTAAACGGATTTTTAAAAATTCTTGCATATATGTTTGAGATATTTTTCCTAATGAGTAGCTAAGAAACAGTCTTTAGACCCTAAAAGTACGGCTAAGAAAGTACAATCAAATAATTTTATTTTTATGTCATAATTTAGGTTTTGTGTTTACAAAAAAAGGGTTGGGTAGGGGTGGAGGAGAGATTACAAAGCATACAGTGGATCAAATGCTTCCCAGTGCGGAAGGTCTGTGCAACATCCTTTTCACCACTAAGCTGGTTAGTAGAGCTTTGTCCAAATGCTTTCTGGACTGGTGAGTCTCACTCAATAAGCATAGACATGTTTTCATGAATCTTTTTTACATGTGAATGAAAGCAGGTTTTTTATAGATAGGAATTTTAAACAGTTTTGTAATGGTGGAATTCCATACACTACTTTAAATAGTTTTACTTTTTAGTTCTTGTGAGGTATCACAATGATCAGTTTATCTTCAATCCAAATTGGATGAAGTGAAGAAAAGAAATACCACAGATGGTGAAAAGTGAATTAAACTTGAAAAATTCTCTTCAGTTTTAAAAAGCTTTTTTGTTTACTTAATAATTTGTAAAATTTAGTAACTCAAAATGGATTTCAATGTGAATAGTTCAATTTTTAGTACCTTGTACTAACTTTTAAAGAGGCTGGTATTTTTAAATGGGAATCCTGAGGAACTCCATGAGAACGGTTTAGTTCAAATTGTATGTCTAAAATCAACCTTTATTGTGAGGTTTAAGTCTTGTGCAAATAAGCAGTTATTTATTTAATTTGTTTACCTACAAATGCTAGATACTTCTACAAACCTTCTTTATGCTGTGTGGTTCTCCACAAGTTCTTAACAGGTTGCTTGTTGCTGTATATTTAGAGTTTAAACCTGATGCTTTCTCTTGTACCCACAGTTGGCTTAAGCCTATTCCTCGTGGTTAGGAAGGTTAGCTCAGCTCAGTGGAAACTATTTTCACTTTTCTCAGAGATACACTGCATATTAGCTGATGTCTGTGGTCTAACTGGAAAAGTCAGCTTGGGAAAACATTTTATCTTGGTTACTGTTTGTCTGACCTTGTGTATTACCTATTTTGATTTCCCCAGTTTGGACAACTGTTTAGTTTTTTTCACTCCTGTTCATATTGAACAGTTTAGGGAGATATTTTATTTCCCTAAGATCAGAGTTCTGGTTTTGGCAAGGTACTTTGAACCTATGAAAATGGGCATAAAACTTACAAATCCAAATTGTGTTTGAGTCACAAAGGTTTGACCATGTAAAAATAGAAGTTGCTCAATCTGGAATCTTTTCAAATGAAGGAGATTGCAAATGAATTTGAAGTGGTTCTCTTTCAAATGTACAAAATGACCAAAAATATACAGTCCATGTATTGCCAAAATAAATAGTATGCCTCCCCCACCAAATCTCACTGAACTACCTGTAAATTGCTCTTTATAATGCAGCTGAAGTTGTATTAGAACCAGGGGTCCTAGTTTTCTGTGATTAAAAAAAAAAAAAACAAAAAAAACCCAAATGGTCCAATTAAAAAAAAATTGCCTTTTTCCGCTGTTAAAATGAAACGCTGAACTTTAGTTTCCTTAGCCACAATATATACAGGTATTAGTTGAACAGAATGTTTTATTGATATATTTATGATTTTTAAGCAAGTTTGAAACTACAAATGCCATCAGTCATAATAAAATAAAATTAATGGAATGAGCTAGTCACAGGGCGTTGTTTCTTTACTGTTGTCGATGGCCCTGCTGTTTCAGCCTCTTGTTTTCATTTCTTTTCATTCAGTTTGTTTAGTGCTTTCCGTGTGTTTGTCTGCCTTCGAATGTAATCTACAGCCTTGCTGCATACAGTACAGCACATTGCCACCAATGTGAAATTTGTCTAGCCCATAACCATTGACACTGTCTTTAGGGGTGATTTTTAAAGTTTTTGACAACTTTTCATAACTTTAACTACATCTGGAGGCTGAAGTGAAATTTGAGATGTGCATCCAGTGCATTGGAACCAGAGACCTTTGCCTAGCAGTACCTGCAGAGGGGTGGCACTCGCACCTTGTGGCTGTGGCCCCTTCTCTGGCTACATTAAGTGGCACTTCCCCAACACCCCTTAGTTCCTTCTTACTGCTTGTGGCTGGAGTCAGACCTCTGTGTGATTGTAGTCCCACCACTTTGCACTTAATCTTAGCCTACTTTATTATGCATAGTTAGTGTGTGTTAGTGATTGTAGTTAGTATTAGTTGCTATATAATGTTCCCGGTGATGACCTCATCTGGGTTTAAGCATTGCCCTTCATGTGGAGGAATGATCTCGAACAGCAGTCCCACATGTGGTGCTTGCTTTGTCTTGGCAAGGCACACCTTAAAAAGCATAGATCATTCAAGGAGAGGACTCAGGTGGCACGGGAGCTTTGCCTCAAGCAGCACCTGCTTGAACAGGCCATGTGACATGCATGATCTGGTACTGAGGCTCTCCTTGGGCCGGAGAGCACCCTTGGGCTTTGGAGAGTGCTGCTGTCTCTTGTTATGGGGCAGGTGCCTCTCTGAAGAGGCTCAGGAGCCTTTCTCTGTCTTCTTGCCAAAGAAGAGGACTCATAAGACCAGTTGTGATGGTTCCAGGTTGTGGGGCAACTCCTCTGCCTCCCCCAGAAAGAGCACAGACTGATGAAGGGCTGGCTCTTGTGTGCATGATGGCGCAGGTACCTCTGACCCTTCCCAGTACCGAGTAGGGAGGTCATAACCCCAATACCATTGTTTCGGTTTTGGCCTCCGGATGTCCTTTGAGTCCGGTACCAACAAGGGCGAGGCCGTACCAACAGTATCTACTGCATCAAAGTACCAGACTGTGGTGGAATTGCCCTGCCTTTCGTGCCCATCCTTGTTGCTGGTCCAAGATTTTACAAGTCAAGTACCTTCGATAGCCCCTCCAAAGGAATTTGCCACCAATCATTGGGCCCCTTGGCACTGTACCCAAGATGCTTCTCTCCTGGTGGCTGGGATGGGTATGCTACCGGAATCAGTACCTTGGTACTGGGACCCTCTGTGGCGCCGTTACAGTTGATGCCGCAGATGCTTCCGTGGCAACTGTCACCACCCTCAACATCGATGCACTTGGGTGCGCAGGGACTGATGCTGCCTGCGTTACCAGCACGGTTGGTACTGATAGTGCCACCTTCATCGGGGGCACTGATTCCTGTCTCGTTTTGGGTGATGGATGAATCGGATTGCCTTTTGGCTCCCTTGGGAATTGCTCCACCCATGTCTCTGAGATCACAGGACTCTTCTGCTTCTGAGTTGGGGTCATCCTTCTCCTGCTCTGCTTCACCTGACAAGATCTGAAGCCTGCCAGTGGACCAGTATGACAGCCGGGGTTGACGTATGCCCTGGGACCAGGATGGAAGTCCCTGGCCCGACACCTACTGGCCACCAATGCCCTATCCATATCAGTGGCCACCTTGGAGACAGTGGGATGCTCCTCGTTAGTGGAGATCTCGCTCCTGGTCCCGTTCAAAGGCAAGATTGACAATGGTGGCTGCAGATCAGCTGCAAGTTCAGACATCAGTGGTTTTCCTCACTGCAGAGCTGCTGGAGTCCTTCTGTCTGGGTATGTCATTCCAGGAGCAAGAGGTGGTTTGGCTCAGCCAAGAGCTTTGTCTTCATCTCCAGATGATGCAGTGCTGCCTGGTTTGTCCTCCCCTTCTATTCTGGAGGACTTTATGGCATACCAGGACCTTTTAGCTGCATCCAGGCAGTGTTTCTTCAGGAAAATACACACACACTGGACGTTCTACAGCCCTCTGTCCCTGAGAGAGTGGCCCTCTGGAGTAATAATGCGCTCCTCGAGC